GCTGAGGTGGCTTCTCTTCTCTTCACTAAGATTTTGCTGTGAGTTAGATCGGTTCCTTTAGGGGAAGCCACACATAAAATGAAGAAAAAATTGAAATATCTCAGTCTTAAAGGATGATGTGCTGGAGGTGCTTCCAGCCTTTCAGGAGGATTCTGATTTTCCATCATTCCAACATCTCTGTTTAGAGGGATTTTGGGGGATTTTCAGTGCAGCACTAAGATTTTGCTGTGAGTTAGATCGGTTCCTTTAGGGGAAGCCACACATAAAATGAAGAAAAAATTGAAATATCTCAGTCTTAAAGGATGATGTGCTGGAGGTGCTTCCAGCCTTTCAGGAGGATTCTGATTTTCCGTCATTCCAATGCTTTTATTTAGAGGGATTTTTGGGGATTTTCAGTGCGGCTTTGGGGTTCCCGTGGGTTCCAGCAGCCATCCTCTCAAGGAGTGCTCCATGAAATCATTGCGGACGTGTTCAGGCCCGGTGCCTCCTGGTTTTTGTGCTGACTCACTGAGGTTTGAGGTCATTAAGCACCTCTTAATGAGCAATCGCTGCTGGCCAAGGCTTTCATTGCCCCGGGTAGGATTTAGCAGAGGAATGTTCATGGGCGCCTCCCCTGCCTGCAGGGAGAGCCCTCAGAGCTCACCGGGATTTTTCCACATTTAGTATTTCTGTTTAAAATCCTCTGAGTATCATTTCTCAGCACACATCGCTGATAAAATTTCACCTGCAACATGAATAACTCCTCCTCCTGTTCTCCAGTCTGATTTTCTGGTGGTTCAGCAGAACGTGAACTCAGCGCCCAGGAATTTCAATCCAGGTGCTGCATTGTTTTCTGTGGGTGTGACCAACAAAAAAAAAAAAAAAAAAAAAAAAAAAAGACGATTTTGCAGTTAACGGCAGGAATTCCGGGGTTTGTCGTCACAACAAAGCATTAAAGTGGTTTTCTCCCTCCTTGCTGCCCAGGGATTGTTTCCTCAGCCCCTGTTCCACAGCAGGGCTGGAGCTCTGAGGCGCTCCCGTGAATTCTGGGTGACGTCTTGGATGTGGAATTTGAGAGTTCAATGTGAATGGGTCTCACCTGGTTAATCCTTCCTTGGTTTTGGCATCCAATATTTCCACTTGGAGTTATTTGTTTGTCCCTGTTTGTTTCCAGGAATTTCAATCCAGGTGCTGCATTGTTTTCTGTGGGCGTGACCAACAAAAAAAAAAAAAAGACGATTTTGCAGTTAACGGCAGGAATTCCGGGGTTTGTCGTCACAACAAAGCGTTGAAGTCGTCACAACAAAGCATTAAAGTGGTTTTCTCCCTCCTTGCTGCCCAGGGATTGTTTCCTCGGCCCCTGTTCCACAGCAGGGCTGGAGCTCTGAGGCGCTCCCGTGAATTCTGGGTGACGTCTTGGATGTGGAATTTGAGAGTTCAATGTGAATGGGTCTCACCTGGTGTCAGGGTCCGTCCTAGCGGACAGATGAGCTGATGGTTCGTAGGAATGATCTCAGAGTGCAAAACACCAACACGGTACAAGGGGGTTTGCAGTGATAATCAAAACAAATGCAGTTTTATTGAAATAACCACAGCAAAAATGCGATGGAGGGATTAAGGGAGAGAAAAAGAGAGAGAGAGAGAGGGGGGATATAGCTGCCAACGCAGAGACGAAGTCCTTTGGTGCAGTCCAGCCGAGGGTCCGCCCGCTACGCTGGGGAGATCTCAAAGGCTCTGGCTAACTCAGAGGTTTTTATTACTGAAAATTGTGAGGGGGGGGGGGGTTGAACAGATAAATGAGAGCCATTGTTCTCTTGCTCCAGTGGTCACAACCTGCAGGCAAACATCTCGCTTTGGTCAGCCTGCCTCCCCACACACCCACCCCGGGCTGGGGGTGTCAGTCCCAGTCCTTGGAAGGAGCCTGTTAGGAGTTTCATGTCTCAGTCCTTGGTGGAAAAGCTTCTCACATTGCCGGGGGATGGGTAGATATCAGTCCAATTGTGTCAGGAACTCACGTCTTAAAAAAGGAACCCACTAGGCCGCGGCAAAATATCCAAATATGGATAACATTGTAAACAGACCAGTGAAGAGATTTTTGCTCTTATTTCCAGCACATCAGTCTCAGAATACAAAAAGGAGACATGACAGCTCACTGATCCACCCCAAAAATGTCTCCTCCAGGAGGGCTTATACAGCAATACATAAAATCATCTCAGTCTACCTTTTTCAACCAATCACACACGGAAAACACATATTGACAAGCATTCTATCCAATCTTACAAAACATACGTAATGGTAGCTAAAACAAAGACTAGTTCATAAGAGACAAAGAACAGAGTTCTATTCATACTAATCTTCTAAAGATATACATTAAATAACCTTGTTGCCATCCTAAAGCCAATTCTACAGAGGCCTGTTGTTATTTGTCACGTCTACTGCTTGGGAAACTTTTCTGCTTGCATGGGAAACTTTTCTGCAATGCTAACAAAACTTCAATCTAAGGCCTGCATACCTTTTCTTAACCATTTCTTAAAAATCCTCTAACCTTATGGATTCCAACATCACATCTCAGTCAGTCTGTCACGGTGGTTGTGGAACAGGTGAGGGTCTTCTGTGGGAGACCACCTGAGACTCAGGAGAAGTCCAGCCAGGCCGAGAGCTGGGACAGCTTCCAGAGCTGCTGTTGTTGCAAACGGGGCACGGTGCCCTCTTACAGCAAACACCCCTGTGAAAACAACAGCTCAACGCTGAGCTTTCAGCTCTCAGGGCCCGTGGCTGTGACTTTTCTCCTTCAGAGCCAGATATAGACCAGGGGGGGGTCTTCTCTTCAGTGGGCTCCCAAGGACGATCGTGAGGCAGATGAGGGAAAATTGGGACAGACTCTCACAGGGGCCTGTTAGGAGTTTCATGTCTCAGTCCTTGGTGGAGAAGCTTCTCACATCTCTGTCTGCCTGTCACGGTGGTTGTAGAACAGGTGAGGGTCTTCTGTGGGAGACCACCTGGAACTCAGGAGAAGTCCGAGAGCTGGGACAGCTCCCAGAGCTGCTGTTGTTGCAAACGGGGCACGGTGCCCTCTTACAGCAAACACCCCTGTGAAAACAACAGCTCAACGCTGAGCTTTCAGCTCTCAGGGCCCGTGGCTGTGACTTTTCTCCTTCAGAGCCAGATATAGACAGGGGGGGTCTTCTCTTCAGTGGGCTCCCCAGGACGATCGTGAGGCAGATGAGGGAAAATTGGGACAGACTCTCACACCTGGTTAATCCTTCCTTGGTTTTGAAATCCAATATTTCCACTTGGAGTTATTTGTTTGTCCCTGTTTGTTTCCATTTGAGACTGGCAGGGCTTGAACTTCACTTTATTTAATCCAGGGCTTTTGAAGGAAAAAATTCACCCTCAGGATTTTTCCAGAGAAACTTGGACTTCCATAGGGATCTGTAATTCCCTTTGAAAATTCTGATTGGTCACTAATAATATAACAAAAAAAAAAAACCAAACCAAACAATTTTCCTTTTGAAGGAAAAAATTCACCCTCAGGATTTTTCCAGAGAAACTTGGACTTCCATAGGGATCTGTAATTCCCTTTGAAAATTCGGATTGGTCACTAATAATATAACCAAAAAAACCCAAACAATTTAAATATAAAACATTCAATAATATTACTTTATAATGCGTATTACCTTTTATTTGAATATAATCAGAATCAGAATTTATTTAAATATAATCATAATTTATATATTTATTTAAACGTGATCATAATTAGAATGCATACATTGTATATTACCTAACATGCAATGTAGACATTCTAATATACAATGCAGAATTATATAATAATTACAAATATATATATAAATATATATAATATAGAAATATAAACTGCTTTTTATATGTTAGATGTATATAATATATGCTACATATAATATATAAACTATAAAACATTCAATAATACTATTTTATAATGCGTATTACCTTTTATTTAAAGATAATTAGAATTTATTTAAATAGAATCATAATTTATATATTTATTTAAATATAATCACGATTAGAATGAATGCATTGTATATTACCTAACATGCAATGTAGGCATTCTAATATACAATGCATAATTATATAATAATTACAAATATATATATAAATATATATAATATAGAAATATAAACTGCTTTTTATATGTTAGATATATATAATATATGCTACATATAATATATAAACTATAAAACATTCAATAATATTATTTTATAATGCATATTACCTTTTATTTAAAGATAATTAGAATTTATTTAAATAGAATCATAATTTATATATTTATTTAAATATAATCACGATTAGAATGAATGCATTGTATATTACCTAACATGCAATGTATGCATTCTAATATACAATGCAGAATTATATAATAATTACAAATATATATATAAATATATATAATATAGAAATATAAACTGCTTTTTATATTTTAGATGTATATAATATATGCTACATATAAAATATAAACTATAAAACATTCAATAATATTATTTTATAATGCATATTACCTTTTATTTGAATATAATCAGAATTAGAATTTATTTAAATATAACCATAATTTATATATTTATTTAAACATGATCATAATTAGAATGCATACATTGTATATTACCTAACATGCAATGTATGCATTCTAATATACAATGCAGAATTATATAATAATTACAAATATATATATAAATATATATAATATAGAAATATAACCTGCTTTTTATATGTTAGATATATATAATATATGCTCCATATAAAATATAAACTATATATATATGTATATATAAAATATAAATGATTCTTTTTTAGGACAGACTGATTTCTTTAGCCTGGAGTCCACTTTAATAATCACAATTTTGGGATTATTTATTCCCAATTTTGGGATTAAATCCTGCAATCCTGCAGGGATTTAAGATTTTCTGTTTGTTTAAGATTCTTCTATTTGTTTAAATCTTTCCCCTTTAGGACTTTTTAAAAAATGTTTAAATTCCTTTTCCTCTTTACAGACCAAAGCCAGCAAAGCAAACGAAAGGCAAAACCCAAAACTAGTGACTATGAAAAAATGAGGTGAGAAATATTATTTATTTAAAGATTTATTATACTATTTATTCTTAGATTTATTATACTATTTATTTTTTACTTTATTATACTATTTATTTAAAGTTTTATTACACTATTGATTTTTAAATTTATTATACTATTTATTTTTAAATTTATTACACTATTTATTTTAAAATTTATTATACTATTTATTTTTCAATTTAATACACTATTTCTTTTTAAATTTATTGCACTATTTATTTTAAAATTTATTATACTATTTATTTTTAAATTTAATACACTATTTCTTTTTAAATTTATTACACTATTTATTTTTCAATTTATTACACTATTTATTTTTCAATTTACTATACTATTTATTTTTAAATTTATTATACTATTTATTTTTCAATTTATTATACTATTGCTTTTTAAATTTATGACACTATTTATTTTTCAATTTATGACACTATTTATTTTTCAATTTATTACACTTTTTTAAAAAATTTATTGCACTATTTATTTTTAAATTCATTATACTATTTATTTTTAAATTTATTATACTTTTTATTTAAAAATCTATTATACTATTTATTTTTAAATTTATTACACTATTTATTTTTAAATTTATTATACTATTGATTTTTAAATTTATTGCACTATTTATTTTTAAATTTATTATACTATTTATTTTTAAATTTATTACACTATTTATTTTTAAATTTATTATACTATTTATTTAAAAATTTATTATATTATTTATTTTTAAATTTATTATACTATTTATTTTTCCATTTATTTTACCATTTATTTTTAAATTTATTACACTATTTATTTTAAAAATTTATTATACTATTTATTTTTCAATTTATTATACTATTTATTTTTAAATTCATTCTTATTTTGAGCTATTTTATGTAAAATTAATACAATTTGGGAATGGTTGCACTTGGGGTTAAATTCAATTAATTGAGGTAAAACCATCGATTTTATAGCATTAAATATTTATATTTAAAATATTTATTTTAATTAATTCCTGTATTTATTTATTTATTATTCCCTGTATTTATTTATTTCCTGTATTATTTATTTAATGAATTCCTGTAGAACAGGAATGGGAATGGTTGCTCTTGGGGCTAAAATTCAATTAATTGAGGTAAAACCATCGATTTTATAGCATTGAATATTTATATTTAAAATATTATTTAATAAATAATTATATATTAAAGATTATATTTATAAAATATTTCTGTTTCCACTTAAAATGTGAATGATGAGAGGAAATCATTGAATATTTCAGAAATCATTGAACATTTCAGAAATCATTGAATATTTCAGGAATCATTGAATATTTCAGAAATCATTGAATATTTCAGAAATCATTGACTATTTCAGAAATCATTGAATATTTCAGGAATCATTGAATATTTCAGGAATCATTGACTATTTCAGAAATCATTGAACATTTCAGGAATCATTGACTATTTCAGAAATCATTGAATATTTCAGAAATAATTGACTATTTCAGAAATCATTGAATATTTCAGGAATCATTGACTATTTCAGAAATCATTGAATATTTCAGAAATCATTGAATATTTCAGGAATCATTGAATATTTCATAAATCATTGAATATTTCCTCTGGAGATTTTTGTTTTTTTAGGAAGGGTTAAAACGTAAAAATGCAGCAAAACAGGATTTGTATTTGATGGAAATAGGGAAATTTGCATTAAAGAGAATTTTTCAACACAGATTTCAGATTTCTTCAGGAAACCTGAAAATTCTCAATCCGAATCGAAATGTGACCCCAACCCCAAATTTCAATTCCTTTAAATCAAAATTTATTTCCGTACAATCCTCTTGTTTTCCCATCATTTTTTCAGTACCAGCGTAGGTACAAAAATTTAAAATTTTGCCACAGGAGAGGTCATTTTATCGATATTATTGAAAAGAAATTGAGATTTAAATCGCATTTCATCATTTTATTTAAAATAAATTGAGATTTAAAGCGCATTTCCACATTTTATTGCCAATAAATTGAGATTTAAAGCGCATTTCCACATTTTATTTAAAATAAATTGAGATTTAAAGCGCATTTCCACATTTTATTTAAAATAAATTGAGATTTAAAGCACATTTCCACATTTTATTTAAAATAAATTGAGATTTAAAGCGCATTTCCACATTTTATAGCCAATAAATTGAGATTTAAAGCGCATTTCCACATTTTATTTAAAATAAATTGAGATTTAAAGCACATTTCCACATTTTATTTAAAATAAATTGAGATTTAAAGCGCATTTCCACATTTTATAGCCAATAAATTGAGATTTAAAGCGCATTTCCACATTTTATTGAGAATAAATTGAGATTTAAAGCACATTTCCACATTTTATAGCCAATAAATTGAGATTTAAAGCGCATTTCCACATTTTATAGCCAATAAATTGAGATTCAAAGCGCATTTCCACATTTTATTGAGGATAAATTGAGATTTAAAGCACATTTCCACATTTTATTGAGGATAAATTGAGATTTAAAGCGCATTTCCACATTTTATTGAAAATAAATTGAGATTTAAAGCACATTTCCGCATTTTATTGAGAATAAATTGAGATTTAAAGCGCATTTCCGCATTTTATTGAGAATAAATTGAGATTTAAAGCGCATTTCCACATTTTATTGCCAATAAATTGAGATTTAAAGCGCATTTCCACATTTTATTGAAAATAAATTGAGATTTAAAGCACATTTCCGCATTTTATTGAGAATAAATTGAGATTTAAAGCGCATTTCCGCATTTTATTGAGAATAAATTGAGATTTAAAGCGCATTTCCACATTTTATTGAGAATAAATTGAGATTTAAAGCGCATTTCCGCATTTTATTGAAAATAAATTGAGATTTAAAGCGCATTTCCGCATTTTATAGCCAATAAATTGAGATTTAAAGCGCATTTCCACATTTTATTGAGAATAAATTGAGATTTAAAGCGCATTTCCGCATTTTATTGAAAATAAATTGAGATTTAAAGCGCATTTCCACATTTTATAGCCAATAAATTGAGATTTAAAGCGCATTTCCACATTTTATTGAGAATAAATTGAGATTTAAAGCGCATTTCCACATTTTATTTAAAATAAATTGAGATTTAAAGCGCATTTCCACATTTTATTGCCAATAAATTGAGATTTAAAGCGCATTTCCACATTTTATTGCCAATAAATTGAGATTTAAAGCGCATTTCCACATTTTATTGCCAATAAATTGAGATTTAAAGCGCATTTCCACATTTTATAGCCAATAAATTGAGATTTAAAGCGCGTTTCCCATCCCCTGGTGCCCTCTCCTGTGTTTTCAGGGATCCTGTGGATCTGAAGAGGGAAAAAGCCGCGGAGGATCGAAGTTTCTGTGCGGTGCCGCAGGTAATGGGAATCCAGCCTCGAATTGCAAATTATTTCTCATTTTTTAGGAATATTGCACAAAATCTTGGTGAATTCCAAATGTAACTCTCTGTGCTCTGTGTGGCTTTGATCGGAGGCAGGAATTCTGTGGTTACACTGATTTATTCTCATTTAATCTGATTTATTCGGATTTATTCTCATTTATTCGGATTTTCCTCTGGTTTCTCTCTTCTCCTGCTGTAAAACTTGGCTGGGATAAAATTTTAAATTCAATTTTTAATGAAGTTTTAATCAAAAATTCAAACCTGTCTGGGATCGTTTTAAATTCAATTTTTAATTAAATTTTTAATCAAAAATTCAAACCTGTCTGGGATCGTTTTAAATTCAATTTTTAATTAAATTTTTAATCAAAAATTCAAACCTGGCTGGGATCGTTTTAAATTGAATTTTTTATTAAATTTTTAATCAAAAATTCAAACCTGGCTGGGATCATTTTAAATTCAATTTTTAATTCAATTTTTAATCAAAAATTCAAACCTGGCTGGGATCATTTTAAATTCAATTTTTAATTAAATTTTTAATCAAAAATTCAAACCTGGCTGGGATCATTCAGGAATTTAAAAAGCCTTTCCCAAATTTCTGCCTAAATGTTTTTTTTCCATTTGGATACATTTGGAAATAACCAATAATTTTGTGGACTGGCTGTTGGAAATGCTGTAAAATACATTAAAAAATTAATAAAATTCATTCATTGGGGGAAAATTCTTCTTCTCTGGTCAATCCCCCATAAATTCCTGAAGGAAATAATGGCAATGCTTAACAAACGAATTAAATCATTTGTTTAATTAATTAATTAATTGTTTCATCCCTGTTAATTGGGGGATGTAGATACCAAAAATCTTTATTCAGATTAAATACCTCACAGGATAAAACTGAATTTAGGAGAAATTTCAGGTTCTGCCCCTCCTTTCCTATCAAATACTTCTTTTTGTTTTGCTATTTCAGAACGTTTTCATTCGTTTAATCTGCTTCGTTTGTCATTAATTCAGCATTAAAATAATAAAATTTATTCTGGTCTATAAGTGCAAGGGACAGCATTAACCCAGTGTAGGAAATTCAAATAAATCTTCATTATTTACATGATATAAATTCCTGCAGATTTCAGGAAGTGTCAATGGTGAGAATAAAATATAATTTTGACATAATGTAATAACAAATAATAAAATAATGGGCTGTGAAACCTTCCAGCATGAGCTGAGCTGGACAAAATAAAAAATGAAATAATTCCCAGCTCTTCCATAAAATATTTGGGCACAAAAAGTGAGGAAAAGCAGAACAGTCTGGGTGGTGCCCTTGGGTTTTTTATTGTTTTTATTATTAAAATGGTGCTTGAGCTGAAGTTGCAGCTTTCTGGAGAGAAATTTCGAATTAAAATGAAGTTTTTTGAAGAGATGAGCGGCTCCATGAAAATCTAATGCAGGAGTTTGATAAAAACTGAAATTCTGAGGGGTTTGATAAAAATGCACCGGGTTTGCTGCTTGAAAAGTGAAATTGTGGTGAAATCCAGGAGGCTGCAGCATTTCCACTTGGCTGTCCCAGAAGCGCTCTAGCAAATATTTATTTGCTGAATTAAATCTTTTAATTATTTTCCTTGCTTTTGAGAGAAAAAAAAAAAAAAGAAAATGTTTTCTCTATTTGAATTTGCTGTCTGTGAACCGTCCCAGGTGGGTTTCAGTGCGGATGGAAAATCCCTCGGGCTGGAGGGCGACGGAGCCAGGGACAAACCCGTCCTGCTGCCCCCGCTGAGAGCCCTGAACGCCCCAGAATTCACGGTAAACTCACAAATAAATCGCTTTTCATCCCAGAAATTCAAATTTATGCATTCAGTATTACAGCGAGCTGAGGTGAGAGAAGGACGGGAATCTTGTTTCTTGACCAGAAGGCTGGATTTATTGATATTTGATATATAATACATTATAGCTATACTAAATGGAATAAAGAGAGAGGTTGCAGATGCTGCTGTGTCGCAGACATTTTTTCACAGAAATCCTTTCTTTCAGATTTCTGTGTCTTCTGGAAGGCAGAGGCCCCAGAAGAGAAGGTAAACAATTATTATCAGCTGCTGTGGAATGTAACAGGGGCACCTTGATTAGCTCATGTCCCATGTTTATAATTAGAGGCCAATCACAAAGTGCAAGCTGGGGACAGAGTCCCTGGACACAACTTTGTTTTAGATTCTTTCTTTCCATTCTTAGCTGAGCTTAGCAGCATCTGCAACTTCTCTCTTTATTCTATTTAGTATAGTTATAATGTATTATATATCATATATCAATAAATCCAGCCTTCTGATCAAGAAACAAGATTCTCATCCTTCTCTCACCCCAGCGACCACCTCAGGTCGCTGTAATACACCTGCACACCAGGGAGGTGTCGCAGACATTTTTTCACAGAAATCCTTTCTTTCAGATTTCTGCATTTTCTGGGAAGCTGAGGGCCCCAGAAGAGAATGTAAACAATTGTTATCAGCTGCTGTAAATGCAATGGGATGCACCTGGGATTGGTTCATGTTCCATGTTTATAATTAAAGGCCAATCACAGGAGCAAGCAGGGGACAGAGTCCCTGGACACAACTTTGTTAGAGATTCTTTCTTTCCATTCTTAGCTGAGCAGTGTTACAGCGCCTGTGTGGGTCGCTGCTGGTGAGAGAGAGACGAGAATCTTGTTTCTTGATCAGAAGGCTGGATTTATTGATATATGATATATAATACATTATAACTATACTAAATAGAATAAAGAGAGACGTTGCAGATGTTGCTAAGCTAAGAATGGAAAGAAAGAATCTCTAACAAAGTTGTGTCCAGGGACTCTGTCCCCAGCTTGCTCCTGTGATTGGCCCTTGATTATAAACATGGAACATGAACCAATCCCAGGTGCATCCCATTGCATTTACAGCAGCTGATAACAATTGTTTACATTCTCTTCTGGGGCCTCTGCTTCCCAGAAGATGCACAAATCTGAAAGAAAGGATTTCTGTGAAAAAATGTCTGCGACACATTCAGCGCCTTCCTTCCCCCAAAATAATCCTGATTATTGTGTGGGAATACAACCCAACAACACCGGGTGAAAGAAATTTGAAGGTGCAACGTGAGAGAAAGCGTGAAAAATTTTGAAGGTGCAATGTGAGAAAAAGCGTGAAAAATTTTGAAGGTGCAATGTGAGAAAGAAAGAAAAAAAAGCCAAAATATTCTTATTTATTAAAAAAATGGAATTCAATTACAGAAGAAAGGGGGGAGATGTGGGATCTCAGCGCCTCAGCCCTGATGTGCAGAGTCACCGAGACCACCCCTGGGGGGCTCGGAGCTCCTGGAGCGTTGCCAGAAGTGTCTGGTGGCTGCACTTTGATCCTGCACGGGAAACGACACCTGTGTGAGGATGGGAGGATCTCACGGGGGTAAATGGTGAAGGGATGGGTTAATTGTAGTGTGAAACACAGGGTTTGGAATCTCGGTACAGGGGGATCTGGAGAAACAAAATGGAGGAATTGGGGCATGTCCTGTCCTCCTTCTTCTTCTTCTTCTTCTTGGCCTCCATCTTCTGTGGTGGTGGTGGCACTTTGGGATTGGTTCTTACTGAAAGTGCACTGGTCAATAAGGGTGAAAGGCATTGGGGAGAATAGGTAAATATCTCGCACGTAGTTTTGGGTATAAAGATCAGTGACCGCCCCGAGGGCTCTCAGTGTGCTCATGGCCGGCGTGCTGTGCTCTGTCGGGCCGGGAGAAAATCTTGTAGATAAAAACCAATAAACACTGAAGACCGAGAGAAAACCTGAAGACTCCTTTCGTCCTTTGGGGCGCGGGCTGTCCCAAGGCCATCCCGAGCCTTTCCAGGCCATGAAACCGCCGAGACAGCGACAAGGAAATGGGGTTTTCTCTTGGATTGATGTTTGGTGCCCGTTGCAGGTGGATTTCAGCCGCCTGCCCGAGGCTGTGAAGGTTCTGGCGCGCGACGGCTGCCGGGCCCTGCAGGAGCAGCAGTGCCAGGGCGCCGAGCTCGCCTTCTCGCAGCTCCTCAGCGTCCTCTGCAGCTCGGGGCTGGCGGTGAGAGCGGCAAATCCCTGCCCTGGGCCGGGGAGGGGGGGAGGGGCCGCCTGCACCCCCTGTGCCTGCCCTGCCTCCCCCAGAATGGCCATGCTTGGGATGGGTTGGGATGGGATGGGATGGGTTGGGATGGGTTCGGTTGGGTTGGGTTGGGATGGGATGGGTTGGGATGGGTTGGGATGGGTTGGGTTGGGTTGGGATGGGATGGGATGGGATGGGTTGGGATGGGTTCGGTTGGGTTGGGTTGGGATGGGATGGGTTGGGTTGGGATGGGTTGGGTTGGGATGGGTTGGGATGGGATGGGATGGGATGGGTTGGGTTGGGTTGGGATGGGTTGGGTTGGGATGGGTTGGGTTGGGATGGGATGGGATGGGTTGGGATGGGATGGGTTGGGATGGGTTGGGATGGGATGGGATGGGTTGGGATGGGTTGGGATGGGTTGGGTTGGGTTGGGATGGGTTGGGATGGGTTGGGTTGGGATGGGTTGGGATGGGATGGGTTGGGATGGGATGGGTTGGGATGGGTTGGGTTGGGTTGGGTTGGGATGGGTTGGGATGGGTTGGGTTGGGATGGGTTGGGTTGGGTTGGGTTGGGATGGGATGGGATGGGGTGGGTTGGGTTGGGTTGGGTTGGGTTGGGTTGGGATGGGATGGGATGGGATGGGTTGGGATGGGATGGGTTGGGTTGGGCTGGGTTGGGTTGGGATGGGATGGGTTGGGCTGGGTTGAGTTGGGATGGGTTGGGTTGGGTTGGGTTGGGTTGGGTTGGGATGGGTTGGGTTGGGATGGGTTGGGTTGGGATGGGATGGGTTGGGATGGGATGGGTTGGGTTGGGATGGGTTGGGTTGGGATGGGTTGGGTTGGGTTGGGTTGGGATGGGATGGGATGGGATGGGTTGGGATGGGTTGGGATGGGTTGGGATGGGTTGGGATGGGATGGGTTGGGTTGGGTTGGGTTGGGTTGGGATGGGTTGGGATGGGTTGGGTTGGGTTGGTGGCTGCTGAGGGAGAGATTTTAGGGATGTTGCAGACACACACACACACACACCTGTGTTTCCAAAATATTCTTTTCCCTTTTCCCTTTCCTTTCCTTGAAATTTCCTTTCCCTTTCCTTCCCCTTCCCCTTCCTTTCCTTTTTCCTTTTCCTATTTCCTTTTTCCTTTTCCTTTTTCCTTTTCCTTTTCCCCTTTCCTTTTCCCCTTCCCTTTCCTTTCCTTTCCTTTCCTTGAAATTTCCTTGAAATTTCCTTTCCTTGAAATTTCCTTTCCTTGAAGTTTCCTTTCCTTGAAATTCCCTTCCCTTCCCTTCCCTTCCCTTCCCTTCCCTTCCCTTCCCTTCCCTTCCCTTCCCTTCCCTTCCCTTCCCTTCCCTTCCCTTCCCTTCCCTTCCCTTCCCTTCCCTTCCCTTCCTTTCCCTTTCTCCTTTCCCTTTTTCCTTTCCTTCCCTTCCCAAACCTTCCCTTCTTTTCCCCTTTTTCCCTTCCCCTTTCCCCTTTCCCACAACCATTTCCATTGAACATTTTGGTTTTTTAAATCCAAACTCCGTTGTTGGTTGGACTTGCTGATCCCCAAGGTCTCCTCTGTGATTGTCCATTGAACTTTGGTTTATAAGAACAAACGGTTAAAAGGATTTTGGTGGCAAATTCAATGAAATTTGGTATTTTTGTATCTTTACCCAATCAGCCACTGACCCAAAAGTCATCCTGGATTTCCCTTAATTAATTAATTTACAGAATTTTTACCATGTTTTTGTTGTGCTGTGACTAAAATTCAGCTTTCTTTCTTTTTTTTTTAGTATATGAATAATGTGAATATTCTTAATATTAATTATGTTATATTCCTCTATGGCCATGCCACTGCGCTCCTGGGAATGGGACATCCTGAGGTAGGACAGAGTTTATTTCTATTTTTATTTATTTTGATATCTATTTCTATACTTTAAAAAATTTTATTTATTTTATACTTAAATGCTGCCTTCATTCCAATTTATGTCTATTTAATGTATATGTTTCTATTTATTTCTTTTTCTTTATTTTGTATATAAATACTGTCTTAATTCCAATTTATGTATATTTAAAGCATATATTTCTATTTATTTATTTTTATTTATTTTATGTATAAATACTCTCTTAATTCCAATTTATGTATATTTAAAGCATATATTTCTATTAATTTCTTTTTATTTATTTTATATATAAATACTCCCTTAATTCCAAATTATGTATATTTAAAGCATATATTTCTGTTTTTAAAATTTATTTTATATATAAATACTCCCTTAATTCCAATTTATGTATATTTAATATATATATTTCTATTTTTAAAATTTATTTTATATATAAATACTGTCCTAATTCCAGTTTATGTATATTTGAAGCATATATTTCTATTTATTTCTTTTGATTTATTTTATATATAAATACTGTCTTAATTCCAATTTATGTATATTTAACATATATATTTCTATTTTTTTATATATTTTATATATAAATACTGTCTTAATTCCAATTTATGTATATTTAATATATATATTTCTAATTTTTTATTTTAGATATAAATACTGCCTTAATTCCAATTTATGTATATTTAAAGTATATATTTCCATTTATTTCTTTTTATTTATTTTATGTAGAAAAACCCCCTTAATTCCAATTTATGTGTATTTAAAGTATATATTTCTATTTACTTCTTTTTATTTATTTTATGTAGAAAAACCCCCTTAATTCCAATTTATGTGTATTTAAAGTATTTATTTCCATTTATTTATTTTTATTTATTTCATGTAGAAAAACTCCCTTAACTCCAATTTATGTGTATTTAAAGCATATATTTCCATTTATTTCTTTTTATTTATTTTATGTAGAAAAACTCCCTTAATTCCAATTTCCAGCTCAGTTTCTCATCCCCTTTTTTGTATTTTCATAACTGGGAAGGTGAGAGGGGAAGGAAAGCTCTGGGCACATTTTGGAATTGTCCAAATTGAATATTTGGGATTAAATCCTTGATAGTTTTGGAATTAGGCTATCAAATAAAATCTCTTTGTGAGCCTTCAAATGAGTATCAAGAAATGACATGTAATTATTAATTACATGTAAATAATTACATTTAATGAAATTATTTACATGTAACTAATCAAATAAAATCGCTTTGTGAGCCTTCAAATGAGTATCAAAAATTCCATGTAATTATTAATTACATGTAAATAATTACATTTAATGAAATTATTTACATGTAACTAATCAAATAAAATCGCTTTGTGAGCCTTCAAATGAGTATCAAGGAATTCCATGTAATTATTAATTACATGTAAATAATTACATTTAATGAAATTATTTACATGTAACTAATCAAATAAAATCGCTTTGTGAGCCTTCAAATGAGTATCAAGAAATTCCATGTAATTATTAATTACATGTAAATAATTACATTTAATGAAATTATTTACATGTAACTAATCAAATAAAATCGCTTTGTGAGCCTTCAAATGAGTATCAAGAAATGACATGTAATTATTAATTACATGTAAATAATTACATTTAATGAAATTATTTACATGTAGCTAATCAAATAAAATCGCTTTGTGAGCCTTCAAATGAGTATCAAGAAATTCCATGTAATTATTAATTACATGTAAATAATTACATTTAATGAAATTATTTACATGTAACTAATCAAATAAAATCTCTTTGTGAGCCTTCAAATGAGTATCGAGAAATTCCATGTAATTATTAATTACATGTAAATAATTACATTTAATGAAATTATTTACATGTAACTAATCAAAACAAATCAAAATCGCTTTGTGAGCCTTCAAATGAGCATCAAGGAATTGCGTGTAATTATTAATTACATGGAAATAATTACATTTAATGAAATTATTTACATGTAACTAATCAAATAAAATCGCTTTGTGAGCCTTCAAATGAGTATCAAGGAATTCCATGTAATTATTAATTACATGTAAATAATTAAATTTAATGAAATTATTTACATGTAACTAATCAAATAAAATCGCTTTGTGAGCCTTCAAATGAGTATCAAGAAATTCCATGTAATTATTAATTACATGTAAATAATTACATTTAATGAAATTATTTACATGTAACTAATCAAATAAAATCGCTTTGTGAGCCTTCAAATGAGTATCAAGAAATGACATGTAATTATTAATTACATGTAAATAATTACATTTAATGAAATTATTTACATGTAGCTAATCAAATAAAATCGCTTTGTGAGCCTTCAAATGAGTATCAAGAAATTCCATGTAATTATTAATTACATGTAAATAATTACATTTAATGAAATTATTTACATGTAACTAATCAAATAAAATCTCTTTGTGAGCCTTCAAATGAGTATCAAGGAATTCCATGTAATTATTAATTACATGTAAATAATTAAATTTAATGAAATTATTTACATGTAACTAATCAAATAAAATCGCTTTGTGAGCCTTCAAATGAGTATCAAGAAATTCCATGTAATTATTAATTACATGTAAATAATTACATTTAATGAAATTATTTACATGTAACTAATCAAATAAAATCTCTTTGTGAGCCTTCAAATGAGTATCAAAAATTCCATGTAATTATTAATTACATGTAAATAATTACATTTAATGAAATTATTTACATGTAACTAATCAAATAAAATCGCTTTGTGAGCCTTCAAATGAGTATCAAGGAATTCCATGTAATTATTAATTACATGTAAATAATTACATTTAATGAAATTATTTACATGTAACTAATCAAATAAAATCGCTTTGTGAGCCTTCAAATGAGTATCAAGAAATTCCATGTAATTATTAATTACATGTAAATAATTACATTTAATGAAATTATTTACATGTAACTAATCAAATAAAATCGCTTTGTGAGCCTTCAAATGAGTATCAAGAAATGACATGTAATTATTAATTACATGTAAATAATTACATTTAATGAAATTATTTACATGTAACTAATCAAATAAAATCGCTTTGTGAGCCTTCAAATGAGTATCAAGAAATGACATGTAATTATTAATTACATGTAAATAATTACATTTAATGAAATTATTTACATGTAGCTAATCAAATAAAATCGCTTTGTGAGCCTTCAAATGAGTATCAAGAAATTCCATGTAATTATTAATTACATGTAAATAATTACATTTAATGAAATTATTTACATGTAACTAATCAAATAAAATCTCTTTGTGAGCCTTCAAATGAGTATCGAGAAATTCCATGTAATTATTAATTACATGTAAATAATTACATTTAATGAAATTATTTACATGTAACTAATCAAAACAAATCAAAATCGCTTTGTGAGCCTTCAAATGAGCATCAAGGAATTGCGTGTAATTATTAATTACATGGAAATAATTACATTTAATGAAATTATTTACATGTAACTAATCAAATAAAATCGCTTTGTGAGCCTTCAAATGAGTATCAAGAAATTCCATGTAATTATTAATTACATGGAAATAAGTACATTTAATGTAATTATTTACATGTAACTAATCAAATAAAATCGCTTTGTGAGCCTTCAAATGAGTATCAAGAAATTCCATGTAATTATTAATTACATGGAAATAAGTACATTTAATGAAATTATTTACATGTAACTAATCAAATAAAATCGCTTTGTGAGCCTTCAAATGAGTATCAAGAAATTCCATGTAATTATTAATTACATGTAAATAATTACATTTAATGAAATTATTTACATGTAACTAATCAAATAAAATCGCTTTGTGAGCCTTCAAATGAGCATCAAGGAATTGCGTGTAATTATTAATTACATGGAAATAATTACATTTAATGTAATTATTTACATGTAACTAATCAAATAAAATCGCTTTGTGAGCCTTCAAATGAGTATCAAAAATTCCATGTAATTATTAATTACATGGAAATAATTACATTTAATGAAATTATTTACATGTAACTAATCAAATAAAATCGCTTTATGAGCCTTCAAATGAGTATCAAGGAATTCCATGTAATTATTAATTACATGTAAATAATTACATTTAATGAAATTATTTACATGTAACTAATCAAATAAAATCGCTTTGTGAGCCTTCAAATGAGTATCAAGAAATTCCATGTAATTATTAATTATATGTAAATAATTACATTTAATGAAATTATTTACATGTAACTAATCAAATAAAATCGCTTTGTGAGCCTTCAAATGAGTATCAAGGAATTCCATGTAATTATTAATTACATGTAAATAATTAAATTTAATGAAATTATTTACATGTAACTAATCAAATAAAATCGCTTTGTAAGCCTTCAAATGAGTATCGAGAAATTCCATGTAATTATTAATTACATGTAAATAATTACATTTAATGAAATTATTTACATGTAACTAATCAAATAAAATCGCTTTGTGAGCCTTCAAATGAGTATCAAAAATTCCATGTAATTATTAATTACATGGAAATAAGTACATTTAATGAAATTATTTACATGTAACTAATCAAATAAAATCGCTTTGTGAGCCTTCAAATGAGTATCAAGAAATTCCATGTAATTATTAATTACATGTAAATAATTACATTTAATGAAATTATTTACATGTAGCTAATCAAATAAAATCGCTTTGTGAGCCTTCAAATGAGTATCAAGGAATTCCATGTAATTATTAATTACATGTAAATAATTACTTTTAATGTAATTATTAATTTTGATTTCTGCTCTGCACCGATGTTTTGGACAGGAATATTCCGATCCTGAACCAAGAATTCTTTTGGGTTCTGGAAATGCCAAACCAGAACAGGGTTGGGGTTTTTTGGGGGGGTTTTTCTTCCTGTATTTGGTTATATTTTATTGCATATTTTTGGTAATATTGTATTGAATTGTATTGAGTATTTGGTTACATTGTATTCAGTGTCTTAAAATGAATTTTAAAATTGCTGAACTTAGAAATTTCGTTTCTTTGGGTTACAGCAACTCCATGTTCACAGAATAAATTGTTTTTTTTAAAAAATAAATGGAAATTCTGCCTGTGATCCCAGGTCTGTAATTCCATTTGCTGCTCAAGGAATGGGGCACAGCAACTCCATGTTCACAGAATAAATTGATTTTTTTAAAAAATAAAGGGAAATTCTGCCTGTGATCACAGGTCTGTAATTCCATTTACCGCTCAAGGAATGGGGCACAGCAACTCCGTGTTCACAGAATAAATTGATTTTTGATTTTTGATTTTGATAAATTTGATTTTTTGAAGTTCTGCCTGTGATCCCAGGGGGCTGTAATTCCATTTACCGCTCAAGGAATGGGGCACAGCAGCTCCATGTTCACAGAATAAATTGATTTTTTTTTTAAATAAAGGGAAATTCTGTGATCACAGGTCTGTAATTCCATTTACTGCTCGAGGAATGGGCAACAGCAGCTCCATGTTTACAGAATAAATTGATTTTTTTTTAAAAAAAAATGGAAATTCTGCCTGTGATCACAGGTCTGTAATTCCATTTGCTGCTCAAGGAATGGGGCACAGCAACTCCGTGTTCACAGAATAAATTGATTTTTTTTAAATAAAGGGAAATTCTGCCTGTGATCACAGGTCTCTAATTCCATTTACCGCTCAAGGAATGGGGCACAGCAACTCCGTGTTCACAGAATAAATTGATTTTTTTTAAAAAATAAAGGGAAATTCTGTGATCACAGGTCTGTAATTCCATTTACCGCTCAAGGAATGGGGGACCCTGACCCAGTCTAAAGGAGTAAAAAAAACCCAGGAAAAATGAAAATATTCTGGCAAAACTCCCTTTTTTTGTGTCTCCCGTTTCTTTTGAAGGCACTGGCAAAAGCCGAAGTTCAGTTTAAGAAAATAATCGAGCAGTATCCAGAGGAAAGTTGTTCTTGTTTGGCGCACTACGGGATCGGACGGGTGTACCTCCGGCAGAACAGGTTGGTCTGATGGAAAATTCGGGGGTTTTTGGGAAAATTTGGTTTTATTTGGAGAACTGGGCGTGGTGGGGCTTTAATTGTGCTGTGTTCATCATTAATTTCATCTGTCAGCTGGGTTTAATAAAATGGGATTCATAAAATGGATTTAATCCAGTGGATTTAATTAAATGGGTTTGATACAATGGATTTAATCCAGTGGATTTAAATACAATAAATTAAATCAAATGTGTTTAATCCAATGGATTTAATCCAATGGATTCAGCACAATGGGTTTAAAATTTAAAATTATTATAATAATTAAAAAATATTTTTATAAATAATTATATAGATTTATATAAGTGTTGATTAAATTATATAGATAAATTTAATCCAGTGGATTTAATCCAGTGGATTTAATAAAATGGATTTAATCTAATGGGTTTAATCCAATGGATTCAGTACAATGGGTTTAAAATTTATTATAATAATTTAAAAAATATTTTTATATATAATTATCTATATTATATATGTATATGATTGTTAATTAAATTATATATATAAATTTAATACAGTGGGTCTAATACAGTGGATTTAATAAAATAAATTTAATCCAATGGATTTAAATACAGTAAATTAAATCAAATGCGTTTAATCCAATGGATTTAGTCCAATGGATTCAGCACAATGGGTGTAAAATTTATTATAATTATTAATTAAAAAATACTTTATATATAATTATATATATTATATATGTATATAATTGTTTATTAAATTATATATATAAATTTAATCCAGTGGATTTAATCCAATGTGTTTAATAAAATGGATTTAATCTAATGGGTTTAATCCAATGGATTCAGTACAATGGGTTTAAAATTTAAAATTGTTATAATAATTAAAAAATATTTTTATATATAATTATATGTATTATACATGTAAATAAGTGTTAATTAAATTATATATATAAATTTAATCCAGTGGATGTAATCCAATGTATTTAATAAAATGGATTTAATCTGATGGGTTTAATCCAATGGATTCAGCACAATGGATTTAAATACAGTAAATTAAATAAAATGTTTTTAATTCAATGGATTTAATCCAAGTGGTTTAAATCCAACGAATTCAGTACAAATGGGTTTAAATTTTAATGTAATTATTAATTAAACTATATATATAATTATATATATTATATATATATTTGTGCATCAAATTTATATGTATAAATTTAATCCAATGGGTTGAATACAATGGATTTAATGAAATGGATTCAGTACAATGGGTTTAAAATTTAATATAATTATTTATTAGACAATATATATATAATTATATATATAATATATATAATTAGTAATTAAATTTCAATATATAAATTTAGTCCAGTGGATTTAATCCAATGTATTTAATTAAATGGATTTAATCCAATGGATTTAATCCAAGTGTATTTAGTCCACGTGTGTTTAATCCAATGGATCCAGTACAATGGGTTTAATACATATAAATTCAATCCAGTGGATTTAATCCAATGTATTTAATTAAATGGATCTAATCTAATGGATTAAATTAAATGGATTTAATCTAATGGGTTTAATCCAATAGATTCAATCCAGTGGATTTAATACAATAGATTCAATCCAGTGGATTTAATAAAATCAGTTTAATCCAGTGGGTTGAAACCCATAGATTTAATCCAATGGATTTAATCCAAGTGTGTTTAGTGCAAGTGTGTTTAATCCAATGGATCCAGTACGATGGGATTAATACAATAAATTAAATCCAGTGGGTTTAATCCAGTGGATTTAATCCAATGTATTTAATGAAATGGATTTAATCCAATGTATTTAATTAAATGGATTTAATCTAATGGGTTTAATCCAATGGATTCAGTACAATAGCTATAATACATATAAATTGAATCCAGTGCGTTTAATCCAGTGGATTTAATCCAAGTGTATTTAGTCACGTGTGTTTAATCCAATGGATTCAGTACAATGGGTTTAATGCAATAAATTTAATCCAGTGGGTTTAATCCAGGGGATGTAATCCTACGGATTTAATCCAAGTGTGTTTAATCCAGTGGATTTAATCCAATGTATTTAATTAAATGGATCTAATCTAATGGGTTTAATTAAAATGGATTGAAAAAAATAAATGGATTTAATTTAATGGGTTTAATCCAATGGATTTAATACAATAGATTGAATCCAGTGGATTTAATACAATAGATTCACTCCAGTGGATTTAATAAAATTAGTTTAATCCAGTGGGTTTAAACCCATAGATTTAATCCAATGGATTTAATCCAAGTGTGTTTAGTGCAAGTGTGTTTAATCCAATGCATCCAGTACAATGGGTTTAATACATATTAATTTAATCCAGTGGGTTTAATCCAATGGATTTAATCCAAGTGTATTTAGTCCACGTGTGTTTAATCCAATGGATCCAGTACGATGGGATTAATACAATAAATTAAATCCAGTGGGTTTAATCCAGTGGATTTAATCCAATGTATTTAATGAAATGGATTTAATCCAATGTATTTAATTAAATGGATTTAATCTAATGGGTTTAATCCAATGGATTTAATACAATAGATTTAATCCAAGTGTGTTTAATCCAATGGATTCAGTACAATAGCTATAATACATATAAATTGAATCCAGTGCGTTTAATCCAATGGATTTAATCCAAGTGTATTTAGTCCACGTGTGTTTAATCCAATGGATTCAGTACAATGGGTTTAATGCAATAAATTTAATCCAGTGGGTTTAATCCAGGGGATGTAATCCTACGGATTTAATCCAAGTGTGTTTAATCCAGTGGATTTAATCCAATGTATTTAATTAAATGGATCTAATCTAATGGGTTTAATTAAAATGGATTGAAAAAAATAAATGGATTTAATTTAATGGGTTTAATCCAATGGATTTAATACAATAGATTGAATCCAGTGGATTTAATACAATAGATTCACTCCAGTGGATTTAATAAAATTAGTTTAATCCAGTGGGTTTAAACCCATAGATTTAATCCAATGGATTTAATCCAAGTGTGTTTAGTGCAAGTGTGTTTAATCCAATGGATCCAGTACAATGGGTGTAATACAATAAATTAAATCCAGTGGGTTTAATCCAGGTGGTGTAATCCTATGGATTTAATCCAAGTGTGTTTAATCCAATGGATTCAGTACAACAGGTTTAATACAATAAATTTAATCCAGGTTTAATCCAATAGATTTAATCCAGCGGATTTAATCCAATGGATTGAATACAAGTGGAATTTTATTGCTGCTGATGGGAGCTGCTGAGCAGAGCAGGTTTGGGGGAATATTTGGGATTCCGGGATCCCGGCCCCCGCGGTGGGGGGGAGCTCAGAGGGAAAGAACAAACCTGCTTTGTCCTGAGGGAAAAATGCATCCCAAAGAAATGTGGCTTTATCTCATCCCTGGGGAGCTGGAGGGACCTTGGGCTGGGCAGAGGCTCCAGGAGTCACAAATTCCCCGGAGCTGATAAAGCAGGGATGAGTCCTGGGCTGGCACATCCCAGAGGGACAGGGAGAGCCTGGAATGCAGGGCCAGGACAGGAGAAATTCCCTGATAAAGCAGGGATGAGTCCTGGGCTGGCACATCCCAGAGGGACAGGGAGAGCCTGGAATGCAGGGCCAGGACAGGAAAAATTCCCTGATAAAGCAGGGATGAGTCCCGAGCTGGCACATCCCAGAGGGACAGGGAGAGCCTGGAATGCAGGGCCAGGACAGGAGAAATTCCCTGATAAAGCAGGGATGAGTCCCGAGCTGGCACATCCCAGAGGGACAGGGAGAGCCTGGAATGCAGGGCCAGGACAGGAGAAATTCCCTGGAGCTGATAAAGCAGGGATGAGTCCCGAGCTGGCACATCCCAGAGGGACAGGGAGAGCCTGGAATGCAGGGCCAGGACAGGAAAAATTCCCTGATAAAGCAGGGATGAGTCCCGAGCTGGCACATCCCAGAGGGACTGGGAGAGCCTGAATGCAGGGCCAGGACAGGAGAAATTCCCTGGAGCTGATAAAGCAGGGATGAGTCCCGAGCTGGCACATCCCAGAGGGACAGGGAGAGCCTGAATGCAGGGCCAGGACAGGAGAAATTCCCTGATAAAGCAGGGATGAGTCCCGAGCTGGCACATCCCAGAGGGACAGGGAGAGCCTGGAATGCAGGGCCAGGACAGGAGAAATTCCCTGATAAAGCAGGGATGAGTCCCGGGCTGGCACATCCCAGAGGGACTGGGAGAGCCTGAATGCAGGGGTAGGACAATGGAAATTCCCTGGAGCTGATAAAGCAGGGATGAGTCCCGGGCTGGCACATCCCAGAGGGACAGGGAGAGCCTGGAATGCAGGGCCAGGACAGGAGAAATTCCCCGGAGCTGATAAAGCAGGGATGAGTCCCGGGCTGGCACATCCCAGAGGGACAGGGAGAGCCTGGAATGCAGGGCCAGGACAGGAGAAATTCCCTGGAGCTGATAAAGCAGGGATGAGTCCCGAGCTGGCACATCCCAGAGGGACAGGGAGAGCCTGAATGCAGGGCCAGGACAGGAGAAATTCCCTGATAAAGCAGGGATGAGTCCCGGGCTGGCACATCCCAGAGGGACAGGGAGAGCCTGGAATGCAGGGCCAGGACAGGAGAAATTCCCTGATAAAGCAGGGATGAGTCCCGGGCTGGCACATCCCAGAGGGACTGGGAGAGCCTGAATGCAGGGGTAGGACAATGGAAATTCCCTGGAGCTGATAAAGCAGGGATGAGTCCCGGGCTGGCACATCCCAGAGGGACAGGGAGAGCCTGGAATGCAGGGCCAGGACAGGAGAAATTCCCTGATAAAGCAGGGATGAGTCCCGGGCTGGCACATCCCAGAGGGACAGGGAGAGCCTGGAATGCAGGGCCAGGACAGGAGAAATTCCCTGGAGCTGATAAAGCAGGGATGAGTCCCGAGCTGGCACATCCCAGAGGGACAGGGAGAGCCTGGAATGCAGGGCCAGGACAGGAAAAATTCC